CTTACACTGCTAAATTAGTGACGGCTAGCGCCGATCGCTCTCGTGTAGCTTTGCGCGAAAAAAAAAAAAACAACAAAACAAAAACAAACCTCTACCACATTTATTTTCCATAAAGTACATTATAATTAAGTATATTATTTAAGTGGTCCAGATACTGGGTACAATTCAAATATTAGCACAACTATCAAAAGTCCAATTTGTTTTAATTGACTGAATGTAAAATATTAAGCAGTATAATATATTATAATTTGACCTTATTTTATCACGAACATTTAGAAGAAGGGATAAAATATTAGCAATCCTTCAAAATGTTTACACGTTTCTTGTGGGTTACTAAATCGGTCTTTAGCTTTCTGTCGATTTTGTCTATTATTTATAAAAAACTGAAATGGAACTAAACGTTTATATGCAACATGCGATACGTGTTCGTAACAAAAAACAAGGCTCTTGGAAAAGGCCTGCCCTATTTTGCCGATGCCCTTTTAATAGGGATTGGGCCCATATTTGCCAGTCCATTCTTTTTGTCTCTAATGCGAGATTCATTACTCCTCGTATTGTTTTTTATTGTTGTTCACACTAATCTTTATGCTCAAGGCACTATAAGGGCTAACATTTTGCATTCATAGCTGTGATGCGCGTCTTACTAGCTGCAGACCTGTCGTGAAATCTAATAGCGTAGAGCTCCCAGCGTATATGCTGGTCTGACGACTTGACCGCTTGTTAAAGTCTTTGGTGATGGATTTTATAACACGTTACATTGTTTTTATGAACTAGGGAAAGACTCATTTCGGATCTCTTTTGAGCAAGTAGTAATTTCCTGTTAATCTCGATTATACTCTTAGAATCTGCATTTTCTACATTTCAATCTTCTGTCTAGTTAACTTGTCTGTGCATGTTATACTTGCTGAAACTTTGTTGGTAACTCATTGACAAAAAAATCTTCATATTATATATATATATATATTTCTGTTGGATTACATTCGTGTATTACTTCTGAAAAATTTCCAGCAATCTAAACTGTCCATATTAATACGTTTACAGATATGTCGATAAAGCTGCATTTACAGTTATCAGAAACTCTAATTATTCAATTTAGCGAATTTAGCATAACCTAAGTACGTGCGTGTTGAATAATGTATGTATACCGAAACTTTTCAAAGGGTTTGAGAACATTTTATATGTATTCTAAATATTATGATAATCTATAATACACACCAGAAAACACAAATTGTCTGAGACGTTACTAGAAGACAAGAATTAAATGTTATCTAGAAACTTACCTCACGATACTGTCGAATTCCAACATCTTTGAACGTGGGTTTACACTGCAAATTCTGCGGAAAGTGATATATCTCTTTACTGTTCTGTCACTGAAACTAATTATATATGTCATGAAACGATGGAAACTTCAACTTCAACTTTTATTAATGTTAGAACCACTGATCCACTAACATGTATATCCAGGAATAAAACTAATCTCGGACAAATAATGCACAGGGTGATTGTGAAGTGAGTAGTCCACATGCAGCACCTAAACTATAAGGCGCCATCGTCAAGGGGTGTCAAATTACAGCAAGGCATCAATTGCAGCACTTAACAAGTTCTTACCACGGAAAAAAAGGGGTGAATGGTGGTGGTAATCATTGCATGATATCCATATTACTCAAAAATACTAGGTGAATATAGTATAAATACACTTCTGACATCGCTGTACAAACAAATATAGATTCTGAAGAGTTTTGAGAAGGCACATAATGAAGACTTACTACACAGTTGGTTGTATCGACGAAACAGCTTTCCGTGAATACCTTACATAAACAATATTCTGGAAGACCCATAAATCTACTTAGAAACAACTGCCAAAGTTGCCCATGCAATGTCAGAAGATGGCAGCACATGTGTCCATTGGACCTGCACATGCACCTTCCTGTCATCTTTATGTATACGCTTCGACAGCAGGAATACTCTTTGTATGACATTACAGATGTTTCCGTACAAACTACACCATGTGCAAGTACACGAACGGGGTGATTTTTAGTTATATCAACTTTTCATTACAATTCCTTGCATGACTGTAAGGGAACAATTAGTGAACTGTAAACTGATGAGGATAAGTTCACCCTGAGTGGGCATACAGAAACACATGATCTGGTGCGGTGTGAATCCTCATGCGGTGCTTCAGCAATCCCTACACGTTCTGATGACTATCTGGCGTGTTTTCACAAGAAATTTTCTCTTCAGTTGCTACTTCTGCGAGGAACTGACATCACATAGTTCCAAAGTTTAATAGAGGTACCATGACCTGGTTGCTAACAAGGTGATACTCCAATTGAAACAACAACGGATTCTCGACAATGTGGTGTATATACAGGATGATGTCGTTCCCGGTATCGGTTGCCATAACAGGGGACCGTTACAGGTACATTTTGAAGAGGAACAAGATGGTACCTTTCCCCACATTAGCTACCAGAATCGAGGACTGCTACAGACCTATTTTTTATAAGGACAGTGTCATCTTCCGCTTCTTTCCATATACACGGTCATCACATTCCTTAGACCTAACATCAGCAGATTTCTGGATATTGGAATGCCTAAGGTCACGTATTTACTTGGGTAACCCGTGCACCATACCTGACCAGAAGAATGCTAAGAGAGTTGTCTGACTAGTCAATGGAATAAGGCTGGCAGGGATAATGTCCAAGGTTGTATCTGCAATGCACTGTGTATGAATATTTAGTAACACCTCAATGTGAACCATATAATGATGGCACCCCTATGACAAGATTTAGTAAATTCTACAATTGACTCTCATGTGTAACTTGTCACACTTGTGTGATTGCATCGTTTTATACCTTATATTTCAGGCGCTATAGGAATGAGAAGTGAAATATTTGCATAAAATCACATAAATTGTACGAGCAAAAAATATTGTATAGAATTTATTTTAAATTTATATAGTTATAGTCACTCTGAATGCATACAATTTCTTTAACTGAAAATAAAATTAACAAGCCAAAATGTACATAAAATACCATTAAGGCATATTCATTTTGATATTTTAGTTCTTGGAATGTACTAAATTACGACGTAAGTGAAATAATAAACATGTACTTTAAAAAACAACCATAAACGCTGGTAATTTCTTTATTTAATATTTCAATAATACTTAAGTTGATTTTAGTTACATTTCGTTTCATTATTCTTTTAATTTTTAGTGTTTGCTACATGAAACTCACATAAAAACGTTTTAATACAACTAAAAACTGGCCCAGTTGTCTCACCCTTTCTGTCAAAATGCTGATGCAACCGGTGTGAAGAGTCACTTTGCAAGCAGGACATCTAACTCGCAGGCCCTGTTTCTGTAAGCAATACAGAAGAAGAAATATTATGTCTCTTTCTTGTTATGAACTAGTAAATTATATTGAGATATTCACATTCTCTTGTTAATTTAAGCGGAACTGTCAAGAGTGTTACGTATGACTTAAAAAAGAACGAGTACAGAAACTGCATTTTAAGTATGGAAATGAATCTCGATATTTTAAGCCTCTTATCTACTGTTTAAAAATTCTGGAGTGTCTCATTTGTTAAATATATGTAACAATAGTGGAAGAGCAAATTAAAAGAAATATCACAAGTGAATATAGTTAAATGGCCAATTCTAAAAATAGCTGTTTTGTCGCCTGAGCCACCCAGTGGCTTATAACACTAAAAATCGGGTTTCGATACTCGTGTTGGGCATAGCACGGACAGAGCATCATGTAGCTTCATGCTTTATTTGTTTTATATTTCACGCCAAGCTATCTGCGCAAGCTGTCCCTAATTTTAAAGTGATAGACTAGAAGGAAGGTCAAACCACCACCTCCAACTCTTTGGCCACTATTTACCAATGAATAGAGGGATTGAACGTCACAATTATAACGCTCCAACGGCTGAAAGGGCGAGTATGTTTGGGGATGGGATTCGAACCCGTGATCCTCAGATTGCGAGTTGAGTGCCCAAACCATCTGGACATGTCAGGCCAGCTTTGCACTTAACAACAAACAAAAGCTACCTGTGGGAAAATTTTAGAACAAAAGAAACATTTCGTTATAATGCTTCATAACAATACTTGTCTTCTGGTTAGTAGTACACACTCATAAATAAATAAATGTAAACAAAAGTCAGTCATTACGTCACAATTCGAAAATAATTATAATTTATGCTAGCTGTACTGAAATACGAGTCAGTGGTATAATCGAACAGAAAGTTCCAGACATCTTCTGTTAATAGTTAAAAATAACTTTATAAAACTATCGATAAACGGTTAATGACACAGAAGTAATCCATAGTTTTCAATTTAACTAAATGTATAGAAACGAAGTATATATATTATATATTATCTTGCTGGTGACAACAGTATTCTCAGTGAGCGATGTGGTTGGTAATAACACCATCTTTCGTTGCTACTACATTAGGACTAACTTCGATTTATCTATTGACACATGCATCATTAATATGTTAGGACATAGAAGAGAGAATGAGTCATACATCGGTAAATAAGCGGTTATGTCTCGAAACAGGAAAACATTTGAAAAATATGAAAAAGCCCCACGAACGATCAAAGTTTTTCGATCAGAGAAGAAAAATAACAGTATAGAGTAGAACTAAAATTTTGTCATTGTTTGCTCAACTCTGCTCCAAAATAAATATAGAATTTGTATTTAAAAAATAAGTAAATATGCGTTGTAGGACGAACGTGGACTATTTTCAGTAACAATGAACCCTGAGAGAAATATGACTTTTCGATAACAATGGCACTCCATAAAATGTTCAAGAGGAGCATTTCTCTACTTTTTGTTCTACAAAATCTCTATGTAACGCTATATCAGTTTCTTACAACTTCAACGTAATGCACCGTCACAACTACTTATAGCTATTTGGCAGCGCAACGTCCAAATTACAACTTCAATGTAGTGTAATATCATAGCAACTTAAGAGTGTATGACAACGCAATGTCACAGCAACTTACCTTATAATTGCATTACAACTCATTATCATAGAAATTAAAACTAAATGACAACGCAATGTCACAGCAACTTACCTTATAACTGCATGACAACGCAATTTCACAGGAACTTACAACTGAATGGCAACGCAATGTCACAGCAACTTACAACTGAATGACAACGCAATGTCACAGCAACTTACAACTGCATGACAACTTATATTTTGATAATGTCAGATGTTTATCGTATTTGGCAATTACTCTCTTTCAGAACTTACAAAAATCATAAAATATTGGATCACATCATCCCATCTTGTGAACAAATTTGAAACAAACGTTATATTTTTATCGCATAATGAGAAGGTTGAAAGAATGAATATGCAAATTAAATCGTATCTACTTTATTATTACTTGATTTACTCGAGCACTGCGTAAGATATGCTACTTTGAAAACACTTATTGTTATACGCTTCCCCAATATACAAGTATGCAATAAAAAGTTCCAGCCGTCGTTGGCTTCTTTTTTGGCTAGAAAAAAAGAAGCTTTCAATTTGGTCAACTGGACATCAACAGTAAAAGCTGTAGCTAAAACAGTATTATCAGGAATCTTGTGACACAAGCATCATGCGTGAAACTAAGTTATGAGATGAAACAGCAGCTAGCTATCAACTTGCAGGAAGAAGAACGTCATCATTCAGTGAAAAACAAAACTAAAAACAAGTTTTTCGGCTCAGTATTCGTCAGTAAAGCTACAGAAACTTCTTACAAATACTTGGAATTTGCATCAACTAGAAAAACAGAAAAGCCATGAAAAGGATTTACTATAGAACCAAACAAATGTGATCAAGTGCTGACGTTGACCGTAAATCATAATGCTGTTAGGATATTGTTAGGATATATCCATATCATGTAGAAAAGCATTACAGGAAGTTTTTTGTTGAAAAATGATAAACTAGAAAAGAGACAGCTCTTGTAAGATGGAATAGTGGGATTTGACCGTCACTCTTATAACACACCCAAGGCCACATAGTGCGGAGAGTGATTTTTTTGGCATGCTAGTACAAAAAAAGTTGGAATATATGCAAATAAAATGATATATAGTCGAAAGTGTTAATTATATAGACATTTACATCTATATAAGAGAGACGGAGGAAGTTATATTTTATACGTAGTTTAGATTATTCACAAATCGCACCTAAAAATATTCGTCTGAAAAATACGTCTCTCATGGTGTAAAGCGTAGTAGAGCGAACAAATGTAACTGGTTCACTGAAATTCGAATGTGAAATCATACTCAGTATTTTGCTTATAACTTATAAATATCAGAATGTATATGTTACTTCTTATACTTTTAAACAGCATCTGGCTGTACTTAATTTTTTATCAGGTACTTTGTTCATCATGCTATAAGAAGTATGGATGTTCAATTCATTTCTTCACTATGTAAAATGGAGTTTTCTTTCGGTTATGTTAAAATAACGTATTGGTTAGTGTTTTATAGGCAGTAAGTAGGTGTGTTATTTCTATGCAGCTTCCTCATATAAGTCATGCAGACATTAGATCTGTTTTACTGAGTGTCATGTATCAAGCTTACATATTTCACAATGTATTTAGAAGGGCTGATAAGATAGAAAATCATGCAGACATTAGATCATTTTTACTGGGTGTCGTCTTCCAAGCTTACACATTTCACACCGTATTTAATAGGGCTGATACGATACGTATCTAGATATTGATGCCGCTATACGATACGTATCTAGATACAGAATTTTTACCAACGGTTTGTTAGAAAGTTTGACAGTCTTGACAATAAAATTTAATTAGACACAGATGTATAACGTTTAGGGATTTAAGTTATTTAGTGTAAGCAAATGTAGTTTCCTGCTACAATTTGAAGTAACCCTAGAAAGAAAAAAAAGATAATTTTGATTTATTTTGTATTTTTTATGGTGGTTACGAGGCTGGTCAAACTGACCGACTTCACATAAAATTAGGGTAGTGAATATAGCGATAAAATATGAAGATTTATCGATAAAAAAGGTTGGACATTTATTTCAGAGGTTTTAGAGATTACACAAAAGAAATTTGATAATTTTCAGATGGAGAAAAGTACTTCTAATCTTAACATGAAAATCATTTTACACTCGATACAGGGTCTACTTTGACTCCATATATTAAAAAATTAATTTTTAGCAAAAATATATTACTAGAAATTCTGTTTTTTTTGTAGAAAAGACTTATAATGTTTACTGAAAGCTTGCCAAATTTCGTGAAGATACATAAATCGTATCGTATGACTGTATCACCACACCCCTAATATTTATTAGATCTTGAGAGAAATGTATAAAATGACAGTTTGACATGTCCGATTAGAACACATCGAATCGTACTTTTAAAAAATAATATCTTATTTAAGCCTATTTCATAATAACTTACTTATTTAAATTAAGAAACTATAATTTATACTTACTACTTGACTTTGTTCTGCTCGATAGGGCGATCATCATATTTTCGCATAATAGTTGAATGATATAGATACTGCAGCACCATCTAGTGTTTATTGTATCTCAGCCAGTTTTTCGACACTAAGATGTATTTATTTCAAAGCTCATTTGGGAGAGCGTTAAACGGAAGATAACTGGCTCAATATCAAAAGAACATTTTGAACCGCTGCATCATGTTGGAAAATGTAAAAATTGAACCAATATATATTGTCATTCTTAGAAAATTAAAGTTGGGACAGGCATGGCTTGGTGGTTAGGACACCCGACTCGCAATCTGAAGGTCGTCGATTTGAGTCTTGTCATCGAACATGCTCGACTTTTCATCCGTGGAGACGTTATAATGTGAAGACTAATCCCACTTTTCTTAGTAAAAAAAAAGTAACCCAAGAGCTTCTGGTGGTTAGTGTTGACTATAGCTTACTTGTTGACTATGTTACTTCTAAATTAAAGATAGCTAACTATGCAATTTTCTAATTTTATACACTTCCCCAATGTTTTTCTCAGAGTCATATTTAACGATTTACTAACCATAACTACATTTCCATCATCTGGCCCGTGACAAAGAAGAGAGAGAGAGAGAAAAAAAGAATACATGCAAGAGTTTAGATTATTGTAAATTCTTGGAAAAAATTAAGTTGAACGGAATCAGCGAAAACAAATGCTACAATTTAATCGAAACAAAATATTTCTTGTTTATGTGTTTTAATAATATCTATTATATTTTATATAATGAAAGGACACAATGTTGAGTATGTTCGTGTTAATATGTTTTACACAGGGAAAGGAAACGAGGTTGAATATGTTCGGGTTTATTTGTGTTACACAGGAAAAGGACGCGAGGTTGAGTATGATTGTGTTTATTTATGTAGTT